ACGAAACAAAACAAAACTGATTTGCAATTGATACCCGTGTTAGTTAAGGAGAATTTCAGGTTTTTTCCATTTGAACTTTCCTTAGGGAATGCAAATCAAAAAAGGTGGTCTCAGAGGTAACTTATAACGTTAAGGGTCAGTTGCGATTAAAAAATCGTTAAGAGAGTGCACGATAATGATCATCAGTAACTTTGTTGGTGGTGATGATGATGATCAGTTTGGGTTGACCAGTTTATTGGATGGTTAGTTGGCTGTCTGGCTGGTTGCTAGGTTTGTTGTTTGGTCAACAACCAACCAAAAATTCATCTAGCCAACCAACCATCCGTCTGAGAGAGACTGGTCTCTTTACTTAGCTTGAGTAGCATTTTTATTTGTGGCTATCTCACTTGTTGTTGGCTCGAAATGTTGGTCATATAAATATGGAGACCTAGCATTTTCCAGCTTTAGTTAAGTCTGAACGATCGTTGAGTTTAAGTTTGTAAGCGAGAACAATAAAAGTAATTTCGTTTTTTTTAATTCGGTGTTGTAAATTTTTTCTTTATTGGAAAACTGGCCGCTTGACTTGGTTTATTTGTGAAGACCAGTTTCTTTTTTGTCTACTTCTTCTTTTTGTGGTAAATGCAAGAAAACTTAATATTTATTTTTGAAGTGTTTACATTGTTGTTGTTATGCAATAATTAATGATAATTACATGTTGATCGCCATCGTGTTCTCCTTTATTTATTTCTGCAAAAAGCCAAAAAGAGTTTTAAATTCTGTTTTTTTTTTTTCTTCTTTAAGTCATGTGTGGTGCCATGTCCAACTTAGTTGGCTTGTAATAACAATAAAAAATACAAAATCTATGGCAAGTGACCAAGAAGGTCACCCTCCACATGAATCTATCAAAATCATCCTAAATTGTTGTTTTTACTTTTGTGACGATCAATCTTTATTTGAAAAAAAATCAAATTAAAAAAATAATAATACATAGTCATGCGATCATGATGATAAATGATAAGAAAAAAATTAATTTAAATTTTATTGTCAATCAAATGCCATGGTAATTTGGTACTAATTAGTTATTCTCATGTTTTAAAATACGTTGAAATAGAAAAAAAATAAAGTTAAAAAAACATGTCATAATGCAAAACATAAACATAAGATGACCGGGTTCATCAATTCAAATTAAAACAAATATATGTGACTATTATAAATTTGTCTCAAGGTGTAGTCAATAAAATGTGTATGGGGTGGAGTAGAAAATTAATTTATGATAATGTTTGAGATACTGACATTCTTTAAATCATAAATATGTCAACCAGGGAAGACTGTCGTATAACAATTTCCAAAATGTTCTAGGCTTTGTGAATGAGAAGCAAAAAAATCTAAAAGAAATTATAAATTATTCATAATTTGCAAATTAAAAAAAAAATAATATTGAAAAATATGATTAAGTCCAAAGGGTAAAATTTAAAAAAAAATTAAGGAAATGTAGTTAAGCAAGTATGTCAATTATTATGGACGTATTGGGATTTCCCTTTACCAAAAATTATAAAAACGGAAGACTTAATTCGTTTATTATCTAATTATAATAAAATGAATATTAAAGAAATTTAAAATTAGTGGTAGTGTAAAATAAAATGTCCAACCTATGGCCTTCCCACGTAAGATATTTCGGACAAAACTGACAGTTCTTAAAAACCTACAATTTAAACAAAATGTATTGGTGTACATAGATAAATGTTTTCTGAGCAAGGATCGGATAAAAGAGGAAAGGAAGATGAATGCCTGCGAATATGGTGATCCTTTATAGAATCATATGTATGACATTTTCGTTTAATATTTGGATGTCTCTCTTCTTGTGCTACTTAGTTTACAGTCCAAGGCAGAAAAGGAAAAAATATATGCACAACGCCTCGAAATAGAAAGATGGTATGTCTTAAAAAATTATTCCTCGTTCTATTTGACGGGGCCAACCATATGATACCATACACAACTTCCACGAAATTCATACTTTCTGTGGTTCTACATTCTGAGCTTGGACAATATTTCGCGATATTTGCATCCTTTGGACCGACAAGAGGTCAACAAATATTATTAATATTCAGTAAAGCCCTTCTATTTACTTGTCCATATTCCCTTCAACGGGAGTTGTGTTCTGATGTTCGACTTTAGATTGTGGCCTATAAATCGACTCGAAAAAACACAAAAAAATAAGTTTTCATACCCAATTAACACAAAAATTATTATCTGATCATCACCGAAAATTATAGGCGTTATTCTTGACCATAATTGGATCCTCATGGAATATTTCAAAGCGATCAGCTCTATATTTCCGCCCTCTAGTCTGGTAATGGGTTACTAAATAATATCTGAATACGTAAGCACCTCTGAATATTTAAGTGTAACTCCCACATCCGACTACATATAACAATATATTTGGTATAAATTTAAAGGTCAATATAATATTAACTTCTCGGGTCTATATCCTTCAGGAGTAAATATATGCGCCATAGAATACAAATTTGTTTATTTGACCCGCTAAATAATGACCGATCTTTATCAAAACAGGCATGCTTATTCTTTGGCCCGATCCACCTTCTCCATGTAGGATTTCGCGATGTTCGGGCCATAATTGCGGCCTCTGGAGCGTCTAGAAAAACCGACAAAAATTAAGTATTTGGTCCATTTCATCCCATAAATGTTATCGGATCATTACCAAAAAAAAACAATAGGGGTCTTCTTTGGCCAGGACCCATCCTATTTGCAAAATTTAGTGAAGATTGGTGGCCTGTATCGTGTTTACAAATTATAAGGGAAAGACGGACGGACACACATGTCTAGATCGACTCAGCTAGTCGAGATATGACGATCGGTATACTTAAAGGTGGCGGCATTCTTAAAGGTGGCAAATTCTTGGGGCTGCTCAAAGCTATAATACCCTGACAACATAGTTGTGTAGGGTATAACCAGAAATCATGCTGCCTAAGTATATGTGGGACAATACATCCATTTGATATCCAAATGAAATATGAAGCGACCGTCGCAGCTTTAAGTCTTAACGCTATAAACGGATGAATCGACAACGGACAAAAATTTAGTACAGCTTACAATCGGATCTTCAATCAGTAGTCAGAGCGAATACCAGAAATAAGATTAGACACATAATGTGAAACTATGATACCGGACAGAGTCATGGGATTACGGAACAGTAGCATGAATGCCCTCTGGCAACTGCTGTTAAACAAATGGCTCCTGTCTCGCAGGAAAATAGGGACTGGGACTTCTTATTGAAGAGCCAAGCACAATACGGTCTTACAGGCGTTTGTCCAAACTATAAAAAAATTCTCGCGGCACGAATCAAGTCACATAGGAATGAGAAGTGCTACTGACTGATCCATTACAGAGGTAAACCACGTCAAACCTTTTAGAAATAAATAATAGACCTAAATAATAGACCTAATGGAAAAGATCGAATCTGCAATCAGTAGTCAGAACGAATACCAGAAATAAGATTAGACACATAATGTGAAACTTTGATACCGGACAGAGTCATGGGATTACGGAACAGTAGCATGAATGCCCTCTGGCAACTGTTGTTAAACAAATGGCTCCCGTCTCGCAGGAAAATAGGGACTGGGACTTCTTACTGAAGAGTCGAGCCCAATACGGTCTTACAGTCGTTGGTCCAAACTATAAAAAAATTCTCGCGGCACGAATCAAGTCACATAGAAATGAGAAATTCTACTGATTGCTCCATTACAGAGGTAAACCACGTCAAACCTGTTAGAAATAAATAATAGACCTAAATAATAGACCTAATCAGGTGTAAATGGAAAAGACTGAAGGACTTTTCTAAGAACACGGAATTCCTTAAAGCTAAGGGAGACAAATACCAATATAAGTTTGTTTCTAATTATATTTCCTTTCTTGAGCGCACAGGTCGCAGAGGAATGATTCTTTTAACGTACCCTAAACTATTCTGATACGCGCTCCTGTTTCGAATTTTCTTTTATTTCTACACGTTGCAAAACGCTTTTCTTTCATTGTTGTCTTCATTTTGGGAAAAAGAAAAAAAAAAATAAGTAGTGGCTAAGTCCGGTGAATACTGTCGCTAAGGTATGAGTACTATTTCTGGCCAAATATTAAAACAGAAGCGTTGATGAGTGAGTTGATGCCTTACATGGTGCACAATCGATGATTCAGTTTTCCACAACTCTATGGGTTTCTGACGAATTGCGTCGCCCGAACAGCACAGAACTTCAAGGCAGTATTCCTTATTGACTCCAATACTTTCATTGTTTGCCGACGTGAGGACGAGCCCAACTTAAACCGTTTATATTACAATTAAACTTGTGTTCTGCTCAATAGTATACTCATAGTCAACATTTAAATGTTGGTATGATAAAATTTAATATACGTAACTAACAAATTTGAAAATAAAGGTTATTTTTTAATCAGACCTCGTAGATCAATTTAATTGGTAAAAAATTGGTATATCGTACACTCAGCGGATTGAGAACATCCTCGAAGAATCTCCTATTATGCGTTCACGTTTTGACATAGCTTTAATTTCTAGCCACATAGCTTTAATTTGATATTTACGATTAAAGATTTTATACACTACATGATATCATTTTATACCCTCTTCATATCATGAAGGGTATAAAATTAGCGTTCTTATTTGTTGATTTAAATTTGTTTTCTATCGGATATCCGAAAACGAATACAAATAAAATTGTAGATCCATTGATTACATAAATGGGTTAGTATGTCTTCAAAAAACCTATATAGGTTTCAAAAATCCAAATTACAACAGATTTCATATATATTGCTAAAATATTTAAATTCAAGATTTGAGGGAGTATTTTTTAGAGAAAAAATATTGAAATTTTTGTATTCGAGGACTTCACAATTCTATTTTACCGGCAAAATTTATTTCGCATCAAATTAATAAAATATATATTTTTTACATTTTCAGATACATATTATAAATAGTGATAATCCCCCGAATTTTCAACATGAAGAGTTTCATTTGTGTAGCTGTTTTTTTGGCCCTAGTTGCTGTGTCCAGTGCCACCACTGTTAAAAACTGTGCTAAAAGTAAGTCAACGAAGCAGTTCCCCATTAAAAAATATTTCTAATTTCATATCTTCTCTTTTCAGCCAAGGCACGCCTATTGGAGAATGGCGATGTTACCATTTCAAATTGTCCCAAATCAAAGTGTACCCTGAAACGGAACACAGAACCCGAAATTGAAATTAAAATCATACCCAATCGTGATTTCAAAGAATTAAATTCGGACATTCAAGGTATTCTTTTGGATGTGCCGTTGCCCTTCCCCGGTTATTATGGTACCAGTGCTTGTCCTCACATCTACGATGCAGAGGGTAAAAATCAAGTAGGATGCCCCCTGAAGGCTGGTGAAACATATATCTACAAGAACAGCTTTAAAATTCTGCCCATTTATCCAACTGTCAGTCTGACAATTCACTGGGGTTTGGGTGACAAGGAGGGTGATGCTGTTTGCTTTGAAATACCAGCAAAAATTAAAGCTTAAAGATGTGTTACCGGGACAGAGAGAGAGAGTTAATTGTTAAGTTTTTAATTTTAAGTAGTAGTTATAGATCTCAAATTGAAAAGTTTATTTTTGGTATTGTATTTTACACTAAAAATCCTGATTGCTGAACTGAAAGCTCTTTTGAATATTCCATATTGGAGACTTAACGATTGATCATTTTTATTGCCGTAAATTGTCTGAGCAATTAATTAAATGGGTAATGCTGACAGAATTTGTCACAGAAATTACAATTTTAAAACCATTGATGGCATTCCCTCACGTAATATTTTTGTAAATTTACCACCCAATCGATAAGAAAAACCGTTAATATTATTTCCTAACAACACAACCAACGAATTTTTCAGTAATATATATTGAAATAAACTTCCATGTAAGCTTTATATTATTTTTATATATAAAATTGTGTTGTTTTTATTTCATTTGAAATTAATTTTCAGGTTATATATTTTTGGTAAAATCCATAGATGCAAATATTTTGATGTACCAAGTTTACGTTAGATCCGGGACGCATAAATATTGAAGACAAATGTTTCATATTTTTAATGCTAGAATCTTAAAAAATTGATTGAAAATCAATATAGGTGTATTGTGTATGGAAAGAAACAGTTACGACAATTCCTATTACAAGTGTACGAAAATCACTAAATGATATATATTGTGTACTATTTCTAAAGAAAATGAATTTCAGAAATCATCTATCAAGATTACATATCGTTCGGCTGATACCAAGCAATTTTTACTGATTGTTAAGCATGAAACGTGTGGCGCCGAAGATTGTTCCAAATCGCTCAGGACCTCAAAAAGGTCATAACGAATTATGGGTGTATGATTATAACTAAAATAACTATAGCCCAATAAACTCAATGGTAACTTCCAGAAGAAATCATGACCGGAAAAGCACGTCGAGTTCGGTTAAATGTAGAACATTTTTCTTACAGGAACTTGGACTGTTGAAAAACAAGGATTCTGGATTACATGACATATTATGCAAATACGGATACTCGACCGAGAAGGAGGGAATGGCAGCGAATGATGGGGAAAGAAAAAAAGAAATCCCTATTGAGTCGGAGATGTATGTGGATCAAAACTAAAGCAACCCCTAAACTAAATGAAAAAAACTTTTACAATTAATATTTCGTTGCATATCCTTTATTCAGCAGGACATTCGCACATCTGCTATACATAAAGGTATACAATTATTAAGTATTACAGGCGAAATTACTTCCCAGGATATTTTTCCCCGGCTTCAAGTAAATCTCCTTTGCTTTCGGCATTTTTTCGGTTTATTTTAGAATTGATGATATCCAACAGATCCTGAGCTTGGTTAGCTTGTACAGACTTCAAGTGGGTATAAAATATTACATTAATAGATCAATTGTTTCTAGGCTAAATAACAAGTTTTTCCAGACTGTTCGCAAATCTCCAATTCATATTCGAGAAATGCCGTATGAAATCTCGCGACGTAAAAAGTTATCAATTAAAAGGACAATATAAAATGATGATTACACTGTATCCTTTAGTTAAATTCGAGGTCGCTTACATTAAAAAAAATAATCCGCACAAAAGTTTTAGAGGGCGAGTTACTCAGTCGATGATCAGAAAAAAACATGTTATTAAAAAAAGACCTGAATTCATCTACGTCCAGTGTCCCAAATGAAGGAGTGTCCCAAAATGAAGGATGTTTCTGTTTTTTGACGAATTTAATTTAATTTAAAGGATTTATATGGTATAAGACGTATTCGTAGAAAAAAGGACAACTGTTAAATCCTATTGCAACAGCAAAACAATTCTTAGAATTGGTAGAAGTATGGATCGTTGGATCGTTTCAACCTCTTATATGGTCCTTCCATTGAGATACCGACCAAAACCATATGCTAAAAGTGGTTAAAGAGTTATTTCTTCATAAAATTCGATTGAAGTCTGTACTTTAAATTAGGAAGTATAGTATTATTTCATGTTGCATTTGCAACATAACAAAATTGCATAACTTTATTTTCCTAAAAAAACTTATTACTTAAAGAATGTATTGAAGTGGTGCTTAGGTTTTTGCCGACACTGTCATACGAATCAATTCCAAGATAAATTGGATAAAGTGCTGGAGACTGATCGGAGAGAGAGAGAGAGGCTACAGCAATACTACTATATAAGCCTAAAAATGGAAATATAGAAAAAAACTAGCGGATACAATAGTAAACAAAGTTGTCCTCTTCGAGAAAGAACATGAAAAAATTCGGCCAAACACCATGTCTACTCGAAATTATGGAACGAACAGTCGACACCATGCAGCCTAAACGACATAATAGGAATAAAATAGAGAAAGGACCACGCAGGGAGGGATCTGAACCATTTTGTTATTCTGACGACGTTATAATAATTGTATGGGGAAAAATCTAAACTTACTATACAAGAAGGCTTAAACGGCGTAAAACATCACCTTTAATTGGGCGAGGTCGAGGGTCTTAATGTACATCCGACAAAAGGGCAGTATGAGATACTCATATAAAATAAAATAAATTTGCAATAGTTGTATTATCCAGACATTTTAAATGGAAATATATACAAAAAGTCGATACCGGATATCGATCACACATAAATTTAGTACAAATTAAATTCGGATCCTCAATCAACAAATTTTGAGTCAGACCGAATACCTGAAACAAGAGTTGTCACATCTTATAAAACTATGATACCGCATAGAGACTCATTGGCTAGCGTAACACAAGCTCAAATATCCTCTTGTAGCAGGAAAGAAGGGACTAGGAATTTTTATTCAAGAACAGGGGGCTGAGATTTCACTTCGCCTACCAGATAACAGTACTATTTTACGGGCGGAGCTTCAAGCGAAGTGTCTAAACTGATTAATATTAAGACAGCGGGAAGACGAAAATAAGGATACGTCTGACCATTTCTTAATTCCCCAATTCCTGGGGAATGCTACAATTCCTACAAGGATACCAATCCCAATATCTCTATAACGCACACCAGATCTTTCACATTTTTCAACATAATCTAATATGCGATCAAAAGAAGTAAAATACTACTACAAACTGCATACTTTCAGGTTCGAAAAGGGGGACAGGATATTGAACATACCGAAATGCTTAATGTAACAAAAATTGTATGTAAGAGGAATATACCAAAACGAGGACGGATATTAATAATTTTTAGTACATATTATTTCGTGATCCAATAGCATGGGACTGGAATCCGACATCTGTCAAACTAAGTTGTTAAACCAAGCTTTCTTCAGTTAAATGACTGCCATTGACGGAAAATGATAACACATAAACATTATGACAAACTAATAAAAAAATTATGATTTTGCTGTAGCCACATATCGTTCTTTAAGAGGAGATTATGGTTTACTTAATAGTCTAACTACTTGTATGTTAATAAACAAAATTGCTCTATTTGGAACTTAGAGAATGCTCAAGTAATGGAAGTGAGGCAATTACATGCAGAAAAAGCTATGTCATCGAAAACAAGGAACGACCTTAGCTGATTTTTTGCCTGCTATTTAAGTATACAACTTAGAGAATGGTTTCAATAAGACAGTGTCTTATCCTACACAGCAAATATACTTTAATGGCTTAATGTTAAATGATCTGAAATGCTAAGTGTCTTATAAAGAAACAGAAGGAATATTGACATCGATAGTGTCAATAATTGACAAATATAAGAAATTATTGTGCGTGGTTTGCGATGGTTGTATAGAAAATAACGCCTGTTTTTACTTTGATATTCTCAGTGCAGCTAAATACAAAATTTAGGGAGGGAAAAATACAAATATTCTGAGCTGTTATTTTAAATGTGCATTTATGAATTGTACCCTTAAATATTTGAAAAGGGTATCTGAGAAAAATTACAAAATAGCTAAATCAAAAATCCTGTACCATGAAAATAAGTATGTTATATGTGTTTATGTACGTTTACTTTTGAAACCTCGAAATTGATAACCAGGTATAATTAATAAATATTATAAGGTCAAACATTCATCTTCATAAAATCAAAACCGATGTTATGATTTATTTTGATAAGGGAACCCCACCCATTCTCGATTTTATTTTTCAAGATTTTCAATGGACTGGTAAATCAATACCAATGCTTATTAAGGTTTGTAACTTTGCACATATATATTTGAAGATTTAAAAAGGAAGAAAAGTAGTTTACAATTTTTTTTTTTTTTTTGTTATGGTTTTGTTGTTGTTTTTTGTAATTAAAGAAAAGTCCTTATTTTTGATGGCGGGCATGATAACTCCTCACTGGAACATCGAAATCCGAAATCCGAAAAAGAGTACATGTCTGGCTCTCGTATGAACTAGGATTATTGACTTCGCTCTAAAATTAACAAAATGGCGGACTTTTGAAAAAATATTTTTGGAAAATCGCCGATTTTTGACCAAAAACCAAGTTAAAAAATAAGGAAGATCTTCACCGATTGGCATTATACTAGTTAGTAAGATAGATATACACTCACAGAGAAACGTGTAAAGATTTGGAATCGATTGGGTTATTCGTTTTTGAGTTATCATGCCCGCCATTCGAAAAAGAGAAAAACGTGTTAAAAGTTTGAGAAGCCCTTTAGCCGTTACTTGATCCTGACACAATAAATCAATCTATAAATATATCTTGAGATTTTCACTTGAAATTTTGTAGGCACCTTCTTGAGTTGGTGTAGGTTCGAATTAAATCAAACAAATTTTTGAGCCCCACATTAAGGAGGTCTCCTTAATGATATTATTTAATGTAACATTTTATATTTTATTTCCTTGACTATTCTGTGCATTGAAAGTCTTTTATTTATTTTCGATATTTCTTTGAGAGTATTTTCTTTTTATTTCACATATCAACCTTTGTTTGAAAATGAAAAACTAACTATTTTTTATTTTTGCCTTCTTTTTGGATGGGTTTGCCATGTCACAAATATTAATATCTCCAGCCTTGGACATTAATAAATGTGACAAGATTTTCTTTTAAGATTT